GGGTACTAGTTTTATTTTGTTGTATTTATCCGCGAGACCTTAAAGGCCGGCCCGTGAAAATATTGTCGGGCATAAACCGGTCCGTGGCGCAAAAAAGGTTGGGGACCGCTGCTCTAAGCGACTGGCGTGAGTAAGGTGCAGAACAATTACATTCTCTTCCACTAGAGGGCAGTACAACTACCTGCTCTAATGAAATTGGTTGCCAACTGCCAGTAAAACAGAAGAAGACGAAGAAGAAATGACATAATAGTCATGCCGTGAGACGACGCAGCGCGTAATAGCAATAGATAAATCTTTGAAAAGAAAAAGTAGTCAATCTGACCTGGGTCCTAGAGAAAATTCTGACCCAGATTAGGCCCTAGCATGAGTAGCGGTTGGGACAAACCAAATCAACTCCACTATGCCTGGTGAAAATTTTTTAATATGCTTTTTGTGACATTTTTGTTTGGTGGTGTGCCACGTGATTTCTCTAATGTGAAATATGTTTTGTGGCTCCAACGGTTAGTAAACACTGATCTAAGCTAATCCCAATACATTAAGGTGCGATTATATAGAATCTCGTCCGGGTTGGGGAGGCCCTAAAATCCTGTCAAGCCCCGAGAAAACTGTTTCCAGGAGTGGAACATTAGGACTACAATGTCCACTCTTCTGCCAAGATAACTGGCTCCAAGTGCAGAGTAACAACTTCATGGATGGAGAAATCAGGTAAACACAGACTGAACAATGGATTTAGATTTATAGGAAACCTAAAATGTGATGTCTAGATTTTTCTGTGTCTGCTAGATTTGTTTTCTGAATGAGTCTGAGCCTATCTGACCCTTAATGCTGAAGCATTGCTCAACTATAAAGTGAAAATGAGAAAACAGTAGAATGCAAGCTCTTTAATGAAGAAGAATTAACTACAACCTTCACTAAATACAAATTTTTCCCAAGCTCCCAAATCAAGTAAGTGATGTCAGTGCTTTGTTCTCATACACATAACTGTGCTTCAGCCCATCACTCGTGTTATATACAAGTTTAAGCTGGTCTGAAAAAGAAGATCCTGAGAAACATAAATCTCCTTAAGCTCCTAGGACCTAGTATCCACATATGTGGACATCACATTTTGGGTTGTGTAGACCAAAATACTAAACTTTGCGCTACAAGGGCCTAATATCCACTTACGAGGACATCACACTGCCACTGTTCTATCGAAATTTTTAACAAATGTCCTCATATGTGGATCTCATTTTTCTCAGAAACAAAAAACCCCAAAATTCATTGTTTTTACATTCATCAGGTCCCAACATGCCCAAATATCAAACAGAATATAAAAATGCATGCCATGAAAGAGTTTGGGTCTTAGGAGGTTAAATGTGCTCTCTTTTTTATTCTTAGATGCATGCCTCAGTCAAAAACCACACTTTCAATATAACAACTATCCAAAAGTTTTACCCACTTTCCCACGATAAAGTCTTACAGTATATATCCTGAACTTAATACCTGGAAATTCATAGCGAGTCCTGCAGCCTTCACAGATGCTGCACAGCATTCATCATTCAGCCTTTTTCTCTAAGCTAATTTCCAATTAATGGCAAAAGCACACTCTGCTATTCTCACTCTCATTGTTTCTCCATCAGATACTTTGTTGTACAGCACCTTTCATTCCATCTTCCACCTATGTTTCATTTGCATCATTATGTTCATCATTCATATTTCCTTCAGCTTTCGCAAACAAAGATGTCAAACATTTTCAAAGATATGCGCGGTGGTATAACACGCACAGTCATGTGTACGTTTGTTTACAAAAGAATGTTTGTCAGCATTCAAGCCAGAAAGTAGGCTTGTACATCTTTAGTGTGTGTATGCGTGTGTTTTGGTCTTTTCACACTTGAGCTCCTCCAAATAGCGAGTGCTATTGCGGTGCAGGGTGACAAGGCTACTTGGTAAAGTGCTTTTCAAGCCTCTGGCTAATGGCCTGCTGAAAACTTCTGCTGATGAAAATGAGATCTCCTCTACCAATGAGAATTTCTGCCCTGTCTGCAGCAACAGACATGTTGTCAGTGTAAGGGTGTATGATTGAAGTTTGTGCTTTTTTCAAAGAATACACAGAAATTCAAATCACTACAGAATACACATTGCTTCTGAATGTCATGTCAGTAAATCTGCATTTTGCTGTAGGCAAAGGTCACAGTGGGTTTTACAGAGTACAAAGTGCACATAAATATGATCTGTGTGTATGTCTTTTTTTGTTGTGTGCAGAAGTAAAAGCGGATTGCGGTGATATCATAAAAAATGCATGCGTTATTTCCAAACAAAACATTCAAACTTTTCAAATAGGGGTCAAAAGGATTTTTTAGAGGGTTTTCTTATGTCGAAAATATGAATAAAGTAGTAGAATTTGTCTGACCAGATGAAATGATGACATAAAAGTTTTTGTAAAACCACTAAAAATTCAGTCAAAATCAAGTGGAGTTAAAAAGTATTCAAAACTGGAAACGCATGTAGTGCAAGTTTATTTAAAGTTCATCTATTTTTCACACATAATGTAATGCCTGATGTCAGACGTGTCCTTGTTGGTCCCTACTGAGTACAAATGCAATATCTTTTAAAAGGTGCATTCTTTGTCGTTTGTTTTTTTGGTTTCGGAGTGTGCCACGTTTAAGTGCAATTTAAATGTTTTCCATTTACATGTTTGTGTTTGTTTTTGAAGGTTGAAATGGAACTTACCAGGCAGGCTTGTTGACACGTTGACTTGTGTGTAGAACCTCTTGTTGGGCAGCAGCTCTGACACTCCATTCAAGGCTTCTACAGTAAATGTGTAATTGGTGTTGGGAAGAAGATTGACCACAGTCACAGTTCTTTCTGTCAGGCCAACCTGCTGAGGCACAAATCCAACGCTAGCCCCACATGGCTCACACTGCCTCTCGATGCACTTCCGGCATCCCACACTGTAGGTCAAATCCACCCTGCCCCCTGTGTCGGACGGAGCATCCCAGTCCAAGATCAGCGTGGACTGCTTCAGAGTATAGGTCAAGTCTCTGGGAGGGGATGGGGGACCTATGAAAGAAAAAAAAAAAAAAGATAATTATTTAGATTTATTAGTTATCCCAGGTCGCTCATGAGCAGTTTGTAAGAAAATACAATGCGTACTCAATTTGAATGAACTGTCATGCAATTTGATATACAACAGTCCAGAGGCTTTATGGTGGGTATAGAAGCATTTATACAAACAATATCATCATAATCAAGCGCCAGTGTTGGAAGGTTACTACAGATTACAGAATACATGCCCCAAAATGTATTTTGTAACGTATTCTGAATACTTTGGATTACTTAATATATTATCAAGCTTTTTACAACTACATGAATGTACTATTGCTGTGTGATTTATTGCCATTACTGAAAGATACTCGCCATACCAATACCAACTAGATTTTTAAATCTTAATATAAAACGAGTGACAGTAGTGTGGACATTAGGTAAGGCTGCAGTTTTTGCAGCGATCTATATAGAAAACTATTTTGCGCGTATATAAAACAGGTCCGCGGCTCCGAACCGTAGTAAAGGGACCTCTGGCTAATACAGGCTCGTAGCTGAAAACTAGCTTTACTTTGTCGTCTGGGTCAACTTTGCTAGCGAGAGACAGAGAGAGGAGTTGAAGGGCTGCTCCAACTGAACTTGGAGTGTACAGTCGAGTCTTAATAGCTTACTTACAACTGGGCTACACTGCCCATGAGGCTACATTCTTTAGGGCTATGCCTGTAACACTCTGCCTATTGCCTTCATGTTAAATAATTTTTTGAACAATAATTTTAAATAAAAAACAAAAACATTTAAAAAAAAGTTATTTCTTTTAATGTTAACAAGCAGGTGATTTGATTTTAATAATGTGATATGACCCATTTTACATAAATAGGTGAGGGAAAATCTGAGGGACTTGTTGTGAAATAATAGTGTATGTAGCATTATTATTATACTTTGACAGTTTGAAAATATATTTTAAGAAGATGTATTGGACTGAGACGGAGGAGGGATTATTGCTCATATAGAAAGGAATATATTTGGGGTAAGGCTCAGCATTTCATTAAAAAAAAGAATAGAATAACATTCCCTTTTGTCTGAAAGATTAGCGTTTTTTCCCATTATGTACTGGTGTCATCTGCTGTGTGAAACAGACCCTCCATTTACTCTTAGTAAATAAAGATGGCTTGCCATGGAAAGTGTTTTATCTCTCCCGGAACACAAGTCTGATTTGATATGAGGAGCAGTGATGTGAGCTGCCTATCGAAAGGCTGTGTGTGTCAAAAGTTCACCATTATACAGTACATGACAGAGGTAACAAAAAACTGCGTAAACATGTCATTTAAAGCTAAACCACTTCTAAATGAAACCCCCAACAGCTAAAAAATAAAATATACGATCCAGTAGAAGGCTGTAAAAAGCCAGACCAGAGGACTCCATCCTATCACTAAGTCAGCATTCAGTGTCTTTTGGTTCATATCCTCTTCTCACTGAAAGCACAGGTCCATTAAAGGTCATAAATTTTACATACATCCTTGTATGTATGTGCATGTGCGTGTAATGAATAAGTGACGGTTTGCTGCACTGTGCGTGCCATCAAACACGTCACACACCACAGCTGCGTCCCGCTTCCAAACACACGTGGTGCCCAGGGTTACATAAGCCCAGAAAACATTCACATTATGAACACACACACACACACACACACACACACTCGCACACACACAGTAGATGCAGACACAGCTGGGCCTCTTTCTCACATCTCTGTCCACTTTCATGCTTTCTTAGCCTTGCAGTCCCTCACTCTCTTAAGGTTTCTCTTTTCTTTCCGTCTTACATTGCGAGTGCCTCTTGTTAAAACTTCACCTCCACAACTCTTTAACACTCTTTTACTCTCAACCTGCCCCAACCTTCTAACTCCCTTTTCCCTATAGCCCATCCACATCACTATTCAACTCAATCTCTACTCCTCCAAAAATATGATACAATACAGAAAATCTTGCATTTCCCCTTAAACCATTGTCATTAAACTGCATGTGTTATCTTTATATGCTACCCCCTCTCAGTTAATCTCATCAAATGAGATCAGGGACATCTACACCAGAGATAACATAGTCTGACAGGCATGAGAGTATTTTTGCACCAACAAGGTGATTCCCAAAGCACTTTTAGTTGAAAACGTGACATATCTCAGGATGCTATATAGTGCATTCTTGAAAAATGTGAGAAAACTGGACAAATGGAGGACAAAAAGAAGTGACAGACCTATCCACATCAGATCTAAAAGCCATGTCCCCAAGAAATAGGAAAAAAATCCAGCAGAGACCTGACACGCAACCTGAGAGTTGCTCAGGCTCTTTAGTTGATCTGTCTAGTGTTCACTAAAGCCTCATCGGGATTGTTATAAGTGGAAATGTGGATGTCAAGAACCAATTCTTAAAGAAGGGAAACAGGACAAAAAGGCTGACGTATAGAAACACACAGTGGAACACTGGAAGTCGTGGGCTGGCCACTCTGAAACACTAACCTCAACATTGTTGAAGCAGTGTGGGATCATCTTGGCATGTTGATGAATAAAGGTAGTGATACCAACTATTAACTTCAAAGCTAGATATACAGATATACTCTGTTTCTATTCAATCAATCAATCAATCAATCAATCAATAAACTTCAATAAATCACTGCACCCATTTCATATTTTAACTAGCAAAATATAAAGAAATGAGGAGTAGCTCAAGACTTTTGCATAACACTGCACATTTAAGGTAAACAGCAAGTTTAGTTTTTTAAGTTTTCAGAGAAAATTGAAATTGTGCAGTCTTCAAAATCAGAAATAATTATTATGCAGCAACATCATTTTGCAGTTATTCTCAAACAACGATTTTGCTGATTTATTTGCAGAAACATCTGATGACAAATGGTATGCATCTCGTCTCCAGTTTTTTTTTTTTCCCTCCAAATAGTTACTGTGTTACGACTGGAGCTGTCAGCAGAAGTTCTCCTCTGGCAAAACTTACAAGAATTTAGAGACTAATTTTAATTAACTATTTCTAAAGTTCTACTTTTCATCTCCATAGCTGCCAAGGGAAATGCAGCAGTGTGCTCTAATGGAAAAAACTCAATCGTCACCATTAACAATGGCAGTCAGTTGAGTCATGAAGTAACAGATGAAGCTTAATCTTATAATTAAAGCTCTGTGCTCCTTCAACTTTTTCAAAAATGAATTCTTAAAGCAACTATGAGGTGCACAGTCTCTGGTAAACACATTAGGGTCGTGATACTACACTAGCATTAAAAAGGGAGAAGACTAAAATCAGTTGTTCTTTAATCACTGGCGTAATAATGCGCACATATCAAACACTTCATCTTTGAAAATCAGAATTTTTTCTCTTACTCTTATGAGGCTAGATTCATCAAACTCTTTCTCTAAATGTACAGTGTGGTGGATTAGTAGAATTCGGGGATTATCATAATTACAGAATCTATAGTGTAATTAATGTGGTCATTAGGCTGCTATGAATATTATCACACAGGATCAGTGAGCTCAGCAATCAATATTATAATTAAACCCCTCCACTGCACTTACCATTAAAGCTAGCATGACCACACACTTTCATTCATGTGTGTACGCACCAACGCACAAGTCAATGTGAATACATATATAAACACCCATGCACTAACTTAGAGACCCTATGGATTTATGTCCTGAATACTTTCAGGATATATACCCTGTTATTCCTCCATCTAATTACTAAGCTATAATCAATAGGCTGTTTTCCATGCAGAAATCAATAGGGCCAACCTGTACGGCTCTGTTTGGCCTCATAGTGAAGAAGAATCCGTACGGGAGAAGGGCCGAGAAAGGGTCAGAAAAAGTAAAAGGTGAAGAATGAACAAATAATGTGTGGCGAAAAGGGATGAGGATATAGAGTGTCGCTCGAGGATAGAGGGATGAGATTTTGGTTTGACAGAGAGAAGAAAAATGGGATGATAACACGCATGGATGGAACAGATGAAAGGATAAAGAGTAAGGAAAATGCGAGGAGGCGGTGGCTAAAAAGAAGAGTGATGAGTGGTCAAGTTAAGAAGACAGAGAGATGGGAATGGAAGAAGGTGTCGAGGCATCAAAAAGGAGGGGGTAGAAAAAGAAGGGGGGGGGGGGGGTCCAGCGGAAATGTAGATAATGGAAGTATAGCAGAAAATGGATCTGTAATGTCAGGAGAAAAGGTTGAAGAATATGGAGTGAATGCAAAAGGTTAAGCAAAGAGATGGCAAAATGGGGTGATGGGTTTTTTGAAAGATGGATGGGAGATAAAAAAGGGATCAATGTTAAGAGGCAAAGAAAATGGTTTGGGTGAAGAGACGCTTTCATATATAGCTTTGGATACTAATAGACAAAGGTTGGAAGTGGTTACATTTACAGAAAACCCTCAAACATACTATGATACAGACGTCCCAGAGGAAAAGTCTTCCTTAGAAAATTAACTTTAAATACTATGTCAAACAAAGACTGGATTTATTCTTTATTCCAGATCAAAGAGGAATTGTCCAACGAGGCGACAGATGTCATTAACCAGTTATAGACCAAGATATTTGCTTATGTATTCTCATCCTTTAAGCTTGCAGTTATACAAACACTTCACAATGTTTTCATCAAGGCATGCATCCTGTGTTGTGAGAGACCTACTCCTAGCCAACAATCTGGGATAAGTTACAAAAACATGGAATGCAATACAAAGAAGGGTATATGGTGAAGGAGAGGTGAAGGGTGCAAGGAATGAGACATGGAGATGGGGTTGATGAGGACAAGATGATGAAACATGACTTGAGGGGGGAGGAGGCAGGTCAGACCAAGAGGTAATAGCATGAAAACAGGAAAGGTGGATGAAAGGGTACGGGGTGAAGGACAGGTTGTTTTAAGACATAAAGAAAATGGATCTTTATTGTTAAAATGGATAAATGGCAATTGCAGCTATATCAAAAGCTGAATGGGAGGTTGAGATATTGATTGGCTTACAGACATAAAAATCTATACTTTATGCAAAATTTCAATATCATATCTTATATGAGTTATATGGTGCGACTGGAACTAGTATATAAGCATAATTATATATATATATATATATATATATATATAATTTAAGAAGATATAGACATAAGTAAATGCAAGTATATTATTATTATTACGTGTGCATGGCGCTGAGGGATTGTCCAAAGGAGTCCTGAAGTGATCCTCCTCACACAAGCACACCATGGATCCTTCGTCTTCTGCGACGCTGTTGGCTGGGCAGGGGAAACACTCCTGCTGTCTGGACGACATCTTGTAAGAGCCAGGTGGACACGCTGGAAAAGAAAAGCAGTTTGTCAGATATGCCCAAATTACATGATATATCACATTACATACATTTTAAAAAATATATGTAATATCCTTTTGGGAAATGAACACATGAAACACATATTGCTATATCAAGGAACTGCACGTTCACAAGATAATTCTGCAGATATGCTAACAGTTTAGAGCCTTTTTTTAAATCACATAAGCACCTCTATTTCACTAAGCACGTTAAAGCCTTTGGAAAAAACGAGAGGGAAAATTAAGAATGAGTGTAGAAAAATGAGAAAAGCCAGTGAGACCTCAGTGAAGTATAGATGAGATAAAAGATAGGATTAGAGCAGAAAAGTAGAGGAGACTTTGGCTAAATCCATCTGACAAACACAATTCTCACATTACATGTGATCGGTGGACATGTGCAAATGGCATCAAAGTCTGCTACTGGAATGAACCAGCTATGCAAATGAAAGAAAACCAATGGATCGTGCAGGCACAAAGCTCCGAAACCCAAAATCTTTTATTTCATTGTGCTTTTCCTCCCCTTGTTTCGCCTTATTTGGAAGTTATCCCAGAGCATGCATGAACCAAAATCCAAAAGGTGAGAACGTGGACAAAGGTGATAAGTACTCATGACCTTACATGTGTAAGAGTACACACCATGTAACAGAAGCTTATCAGTGCAAGTGTGACAATGGGCGTGCATAAACACACACACTCAAACTCACTGAGAACAGCTTATTTTACACTCTCCCTGTATGCAGTTTCATTTTCCACTTGCCGTGCTTTTGTAGCAGGTGATAATGGGTGTGAAATCAGGCAGCCAGCTACCGCTCCACGCTCTGGTCTCCTCTCTTCTGAGACTGTATTCTAAACAGCGGGTCTACATTAACAGCTCTAGTGAGCTTTCTACCCCTCTCTCCCAGTCTTCTGCTCGTTTTCCATTCTCCTGACACTTTATTCTTTCTAATTCCTTTCATACCTTTCTTTGTCCTTCTCATTTTTTATTTCATCATCGTCAGTCTTGTTAGGTTCCAACTTTGGAGGCATGTTCATTTTTACCCAGAGTGAGAAACTAGTGATTGACATAACCAGTTAGTGTACATTAAATTAGTTTACAGATGGTAGATACTGGTTTTGAGAATATTTATGGACGAACTATTTGGTAACAGAGGCCTTAGCCCAAGTCTAGGGACTGGTTGTTAACCTCCTGGCAACCTCCAGTTGCTAGGGAAAAATGTGAATTCCACACCCAGATCACGAGTGATTGCTAGGTGTTTATCTCCAGGTGAAATCGCCTATAAAGAGGCTCCTTGTAATTGCTTTGGTCACTAGCAGTTTGCTGTGGTCGCCTGCAGTTTGCATGGTACAAGTTTACTCGTATAGAAATAATCACCATTTACTCTTCGAGCTGTAGTGAAACTTGAAAAAGTGCGAGATAACCCAGGAATGGAGAATGTTAGCTTTAACATGAAAGTTGTGTTTGGAGAGTAAACGGCAAGTCTTTACTTTGTTGGCATCTTCCATGCAAACTCAGGCTTCTTTGCGACCAGTTTCACACTAGTGGCTGCCAGCAATCTCGACAACCACTCATCAACCAGCTGCAGAAAGTGAATAGGGAGCTTTAGCAATCAGTTTCAGAAGAATTACCAGCAACCTGTACCAGCTACTCGCAGCTAGTCTGGGAATATACATTTTACCCTCAGAACCAGTGGTTGCCACATGGTAGCTGACAAGCTTCTACACATGTGTCATCGAGGCCTACATTTTAAATCAAAAGAAGCTATATTGTAACATGAAAATTATGACTCAAAATTATTTATATGACTCAAAATAAGACACGGTTGCTTTACTTACCCTGATACTACACACTTTTAAATACACAAATTAAAAAAAAGGGGGAAACCAACTACCAACAGAAATATTTGAAGCTAACGATACGCTGGCAAGGGTTAGCAAGTCATAATAGTCCATGTGGTACATGGTAAATGGACTGGTACTTATATAGTGCTCTTCTACTCTAACTGAGCACTCTACTACAAGCCTCATTCAGTAAATCATACACACATTTTTTCCAAATCAAAGCACCTTGACTAACATCGACACACTCACACTTTAATGCATTTATCACTGGCTGCTTGGGATTCTTCATAAAGGACACTTTGACATGAAGAAAGGAGAAACTGGTGATCAAGCCACTATCCTTCCAACCCACTTTACCTCCTGAGCCACAGCTGCCCCGGCCCTGAATTTCCAAGAAAAATTCTTAAAAATTAAAAGATGTTCAATTCACATTCTTGGGTATGTTTTACTTGAAGAGCTTGAATAGGAATTAGGAGATATCATGAGCCCCTGGAACCATGTTATCAACTGTGATTTAAGGCAACAGTGCCCTGTCTGAATTATGTGATAAAATTTATGGGATTTATGGGAAATTACAGTTAAGAAGACAGCACTTTTCACACCTGCAGTATTGTGTCACACAGTCAGTAATGGTGATATATTTGTATGTGACACAGGCAAGTTGAACACAAAAGCCTTCCCCTGGCTCAGACCAGTCTGAGAGTGTGCACGTGCCTGTATACCTTTGTGTATGCATGTGTGTATTACAGCCCTGTGTGGCATGTTCGAGGCTGTAAGAACCTCGTAATCGACTTTCTAATGTCTGTCATTACACAGAAAAAAGCCTCTCGCTTTCAGCTCAAAGCACAGCCAAGCATGGGGACATAACAGAAACACACACACACCCTGTCAAGCAGCACTGAAGTAGACTCCCTTTGTTCCTGACTGTGCTGCCACTATCCTTCCCTTCGCCACAGCAAGAACATCAAGTGTGAATAGCACCTAAATCAAGGCAAAATTATGCATAGATCTATGAGGACAGAAATTGGTTTTGCATTTTCTACCTATCATGCTTAAAAGCAGGCTAGACATATGGCTGGCTGCAGTTCTGACTTATCTCTTCAATTCAGCATGGATAGACATTTCGCTGGCCCACGATGGAAATGTGTGTCTAATGATAGGGGTGTATCAAGACAATATGTGCAGCTCAGATAACAAAAGGAGCTGGCTTTGCATGATGCCCGTCATTTTCCAGGGATTCAAAGGGTCGCCAAAAGCAAGTGCCAGAGAAGGTCATGTCAGTCAGCGTGGCCACAAGCCATCTGCCAATTGGAGAAGAGGAGTTAGTTTAAAAGGCATCCAGCGGTGAGAAAACAAAACAAAAAAACTGAACAAAACAATGGAGATACTTGTAATGAAGAGTACTCAAGAGTGCTCATTTGGTTTTTCTCATCTTTAAATTGCAAGTTGTATAAATTTAAGTGGAAATCAGAGTTTCAGTGGAAGTAAAGGAGAGTGGGCGGTTAGAGAACTAGAGAGACAGAAGGAGAGATCTGCCAGGACAGCTGGCAAACCAACTGATCAATTTGTCCTATGTGCTGACTGGGAGCCTCGATTAAATGAAACACGGCGGCACATGTATACACGCGCACGCGCACACAGAGGCATATTTCTTCAAGGTGTTATGATATAGATATGCAGTGACATGCCAGGTCCTTGGGGTGGGGGGTAGTGGATGACACGGTACGCCAACTGCTGTGAGAGATTGTTCGGAGAGACAGAGACACCAACAGACAAACAGATGGCGTGTGAGAGACAGAAAGACAGTAGGCTATGTACTGTACTGAGAAAGGACATTAAACAGGGAGGGATAATAGACTCCTTCAGCTTGACTGATAAACAGAACAATAAACACAGGCATGGAATGCATACAGATGAGAAACACGCTGAACGAATGAGTGACACTGTTAGAATAAGGTCATCTATAGTAGGAATATATATAACAGCAGAAGTGCTCTGCTCGCCATAGGAGCTTATCGGTAGTTAGGAAAAAAAAATAGGAATATGATTGCAAAACTTGTTATCAATCTTTCTTAGAAAATTCATTATTACTCTGACAGTTTGAGATATGCCAACAGTTTTGCCATCTAATGAATAAAAAGTAAAAGGCCAAAGAATCCACATTTCAATGAGCTTACAAATGACTTTAATAGACTTTTGTCTTTGTGGGAGGAATCAATTCATAGTTTGCCCTTCTCTCTTATTTTCTTTTTCCTTTCTTTTCTCTAACCTTAAACATGCCCATTAATAAGTCATGAAGCACTTAATGCAATACATGTGAGCAATGAATTGTTTCTTTGCCTCCCTGACAGCACACATTAATAAATATTAATAACCCTAAAAAAGGTTTACTTTAGACCTTTGTGCGGGCACGCAGACACACATTTGCACGCAGCTAAAGCCCAAGAGAGATTACACATAGACATAACGCGACGATTTTTTGCAGAGGTTTTCAAGGAATTGAACAAAGTATGATAGTCAAAGGGGTAATGGTATCATAGAGAGATGGGGATGTGATTCCAGCAGTTGGAAATCAATAATTGAGAGAGCTTTAATTCAGATGAGTGCTCCCTGTGTAGCTGATGGTGATTTGAATTCTTTAGGCTTCCTTAACATCCAAAAAAATGAATTCTAATTACCATCTTTTACACACACACACGGACACGGACCTACGCTCACATACGCACGCACACATGTAAATCTGCATCTCCGAATCAGAGAAGTAGGGAGGTTGGAGAAAAAATGACTGATTAATGTGTTTAAATGTGTCGTGTTAGGTCAAATTATTAAAATGTGAACTGATGAGGTTAGGGTGAGTCAGACTGTATTGGACTAGTTGAAATTGGACAAAAGTAGATGGCGTCAGTCTCATTCCACATGATAAATTGGCTGAAGAGAATGAGATATGGACCATACTGGATCAGAAAAAAATGTTGAAAAATACTGTTTCAAGCTAAGACGTTGGAGCTTAGGAGGAAAAGGCTTGGAAAGTTACCAGTGCAACTCTCCAGACTGAAAAATATAAAAGACTCTTAATACCCTGGTCAAGGCTCATGAACAGTATGTGTAAATTGTGGGGAATTTACATGTATAGTGCTGTGCAAGTCATTCT